TGCGGTCGCTCTAGACGGAAAAAAAGGCAACGTGAGGGATCGAACCGTGCGCTTCTAGGCGCGGGCGTGCGGAGGCTTGACGCGGGCGTGGGAGATGAGGGTAGACACACTAAATATGAGCCGTCGAATTTGGATGAGTAATGAGAGAGAATGACTAAGAGATAATCTGATGCATCCGTTTTGGAGGTGTTATATTTTCTGGGTGCATTCATGAGTGTGGATGTAGCATAGGTCATGACTGTGGAGCAGGCATTTGTTGTTAATAATTTCGTAGATTTATTCTAACTTGGTGTATTCTGAGGTAGGGTAGATGAAATACATCAAGGCATGTTAATGGTCATGTCTCTCTCAAAAGCCCGGCCTGCAGTAATATGGAAATTATGAACCAGTAGTATTGTGTACGTATGTGCAATATTTCTTTGATCAGTTTGGTTGGTTTCTGATGAACAGAGATGCATGTGGCGTGGGTCATAGTCATGCAATGGATCATTGGGGATCACCTTTTTTTGACGGAGACAAAGCATGCAGCTGAAGAGTTAGCTGAGAAAGGATCGACCTTGCCGTTCAGAGTTTTGGAGCCCCACTTACCAGATAGCGATACTGAGAGTGAGAGCAGCGAGGTTCACTGCACTGCACACATGCATGCATGCATATAGCAGCTTAATTATACATATATACCTAATTATATCCTACCATATTAATTATTGCCTACATTTGTATTGTCCATTGTCTTTAGGGCCTGTTTAAAACGCAGGAATTTCACAGGAATCACATAGGAATTTCACGGGAATCATTTTAATTTCACAGGAAAAACGTAGGAGCAGAGATGGGGAATCAGTTCCAAATCATAAGTCATTATGTTTTTTTTTCGAATACATGACTTTTACTTCACATCTAGAGATGACTTATAATTTGAAACGGTGAGACAATCTTCTTTTTTTGGATTTCGAAATTAAAGCTACTAATCACTACTCTCATGTCTACCTTTATTGAAGCATCATAATAATCAATCAGAAACGTGTACATGCTGCAGTACAATACCAATATACTATATAGTATCTGACAGTCAGCAGCACTCACCACAATCATCCAGACATCCAGTACACACGTACAGATAGATAATTAAGAAAATGCAACTGATGAAAAGAGTCGATAGCTATAGAGTGCTAGGTGATGATGTACCGAATTATTAACCGTGTACAACCAGATGCATATATCATGCACCTGTGTGCATGCAGCGTGCATGGATGTCACGGTAGATAGCTAGCTCGGCCGTACCGTTACCGTCCCTACTCCTCCTCCGATCCTCGATCCTACTCCTCCTCCCCTCCACCGAGGATGAGGCCTCGGAAACAGCTGAGGTCGACCACCCCGGAGAAGAAGATGACCGCGGTGGTGACGCCGGTCCAGAAGCTGACACAGGTGCATATATCATGCACCTGTGTGCTTGCTATCGGAGTTCACGGCCGAGCCACCTCCGGCGAAGTGGCTACGTGTCTGTACGTCCCATTCATGATCGTTGCGGTGGCAACCAGGCGGAGCTCCAGCGCCGGTAATGTGTGGGGTGAGTAAGCAGGGTTGTCACCGTCGCTCGTCGGTAAGTAGCCTTCAGAGAGGGAGGGCAGTAGCTGGGAGGTAGCTGTAAAAGTGGAGCTGTTGCTGGGCGGTGCATTAAGCATTAAGAGAGGTAGATAAAGTACTTTTGACCGAAATGTTCTTGCTGAGCTCGCCGGGGTTCCTGTTGAGAGGACACGCATGCTCAGAGGAGGCGGCGTCCAGCTGCGTGTCAGGGCAGCGATCAGGCAAGTTGCCGGGCTGCTTGCTGGGCTGCAAATGGGCCTGGGAGGCATCAGAGGATTCAAAATTTGAAAATCGCCCCACCTTCTTGGGCGTTGCCACGGAGCTGACGTCGCTCACCGCCGCTTGCCGATCACCGTGGATGCGAAAGATGATTCCGTCAATGGCGAAGACACCAATTCGGATAAGAAGGAGCTGAACCACGTTGGCGGCAACAGAGGAAGAATAGACAAAGGGAAGATCGGTCTCGACGTGAAAGGCCTCAGGATGGGCACAGAAATGGTAATTAAGGCCTCTGGCCACGAAATCACTAGAAGAGGGGGGGATCCCATTCGTCTGGGAGATCCAGAAAACATGGGTGGAGGAACTAGCAATCAAGGGCCTAACAACCGGGCAATAGAAATTTTCCAGCACAAGGGTTTGAAAGCGCGTACCAGGCTGACTTATGAATGCCGCGTCAGTCGAAATCCGGTCGCCACGCCGGCCGATCTCCCGGAGAGTGACCTCTGCTGTTGGGGGAGTGCGGCTGGCGCCTTCTTGGGGGCATTTCGTCGAGCACCCTCCATGCGCCGGGGCAAGTGTTGGCCCTGGTCCATCACCGCGCCGTGCTTGAGCACCGGTAGCCGGCTTGCGCGGTGCCCGTTGAGGAAGGCCACCCGTGACTTACTTTCCCACCGCATGCTGCAGCATCACCGAACCAGGGGCCGGGCATGGCGCAGAGGGGAAGGTGGCTGCCCGGGGCGAGTAGAGATAGGCGCAGAGAGCCAAAGCAGAGGGGCTGTGGAGGGAGCAGAAGGGCGGGAGGTGGCTGGTGGAGGGCCGCCGGCGGGGGCGCACTAGGGGAGGAGGGGGGTGTCCTCTCTGAGGTGGACCTGTACTCCGTATATGTGAGTGTACCATTAATTAATTATATTAGCTGTACCATGCATGCATCCGTTCTTTGAGGACTCTCTCGATCCCTAAATATTAGTCGTCATAATTTGTATGTCGATAATTTTAATTTGATTTATAAAAAATACATGCAATATTTCTATCTCTAAATTAATTTATTAAAAATCTAGATTCAAATATCTATCAATGATACTAATTATGTATCATAAATATTAATATTTTTAATATATATTTAATCAAAGTTGTTTCTCGAGAAACGAAAACGACAGATATTTAGGGACGGAGGGAGTACGACGTGATCATGTATATATGTGCCTGCTAATACGTCCGCACTCACTATAACACTGATCAGTTGTGAAGACCAAGCGACCAGCTGATCTTGACAAAACTCCAAAGATGATCCACTAGTGAATAGTGACCCTATGATATACGCAGTAATGCATGTGTAATGTAGCTACCTGAATGGACAAAACTCCAAAGATGATCCACTAGTGAATAGTGACCCTATGCTATACGCAGTAATGCATGTGTAATGTAGCTACCTGAATGGATCAAACATTCTTTCAGAGCGGTGGGTGCCGGAAATGAATCGAACGTACATACGGCCGGGTGCACACACAGCTAGCTGCGTGCCATTTATTCACTGCGTCGTGCAGAAGTGCATGCATTTTCGTTTCCCGTCTCCGATGGAAAGTGTGTTGCTGCTCAGACTCTCTGGCGCGCGCGCGGTCGACACGTCGTCGCAGGTGTTGGGGCCCGCCCGCCCCACGCGGCATCATCGGTCATCGCCTTTGCTTGCCCGTCAGCCCTGTGCGTTCCTCGGCTATACTTCAAGTAGTCCATGTGAGCGAGAGCGAGGTGACGAGCTCCATCTCTTTCACTCTGTGCTCTGTTGTACTCCTACTTAGTAGTAGCACGTACGTGTTTCTTCCACTTTCAACAGACTACGTAGTAGTGTTGGTCTTTTGTTGCTTAGACTCTCTCGCCTAGCTAGCTCTTACTGCGTGGATGCATAGGATCTCAATATATTTGCGACACAGAAGAGAGAAGAGGACTAGTAAATTTATAAACTAAACGTGTGTTCGTTGTAATAAACATGATGATCTCTCCTAGTCCATCGTAGCAAGGCTTGGACGACCCATGGCTGAGGAAGGTGGACAAGACGACGACAGCATCTCTTCCGCTGTCCATGGTGGAGGAGGAGGAGAAGAAGAAAACAAAGAAGAATTACGCAGGAGCGCGCGGCTCCTCCGTTCCCCAGCGTCACAGATGCCATTCAATTCTGTCGACGATCCTCCACGCCGACAACGTTTTTTTCATGATCGGATCATTCACCCGTATTTCATTAAGAGGAAACCCACGCCGGCAACGTCAGTTTCACCCCTGCCGCCTACTACATGCATGCTCATCAACACCACCAACAGCCACCCGGCCGTATACACATGTACTCCTAGGCCCCGTTCGACTTACCCCATATTCGGTTTTTTCGTCTTCTTTTTTTAGTCAGGACAGTATTTTTTTCTCACAACAATTCAACAAGAACAGTATTTTTCAGCTAGTCTCAACCAAAATTCTACCAGCCGAACAGTCTTATAGGATGCATGCATGACCCTGTTCCTGTTCTTGGTGCACCAGCCCATGTGAACGGCTAGCCTCTCACAGTCTCACATTAGCAAAAGAGGAAAGCAATTGTGCATCAACGCATGTTAACCCTCAATCTCTAAATCATGAATCACAGTCACCAACAATAACATGACTCGCATGGAAGCAAGGATAAACAAGAAGACCGTTTGTGAGACCAAATTAAAGGCAATCTTGTTCATGCATCTCTCTGTTCCATTCCAAACATTGGTCCATACTCTGCATACTCATCTTATAAACTACTACTACAGGGTACTAGAAACAACAAGACCAGATAGCTCCTTGAGAAAGATCCACAGAAATTAACATTGGTTCCATACTCTGCATACTCATCTTATACTAAACTACGTACTACAGGGTACTAGAAACAACAAGACCAGATAGCTCCTTGTAAACCATATAGCTCCTTGAAGCTACTACTACAGGGTACTAGAAACACCACCACCAGATAGCTCCTTGTAAACTCATTTTTGAGAAAGATCCACAGAAATTAAAACTGCTAGTATGGAGCAATGATCGAGGTGAGCAGCTTACCCTTGTCATCCAATCTCAAAGGTTCTCCATCTGGATATTGCTCTTGAGTGGCACGTACTCCCCAAGGTACCCTCCAAGGTGCTCATACAATGCAGTCCGGTCAATCTTCTGGTTGTGGAAAGCCCACAAGCAGCACGTCACAAGAACGCACACCAGCACACGGCGCCCACAAGCAGCCGCCCGGGCAAGGCCAGGCCGAAGCTCCCCTCCTCCGCGCGCCCCTTAACGACGGCGGCACGGAACAGCAGCGAGGTGACGCCGCAGACGGTGAAGTAGGAGGCGACGAGCGTGGCTGCGGTGCCGGTGCGGCCCTGGAGCAGCCGCTTGCTCCTGGCCAGGGCCGCGAGCCCGCAGAGCGGCTCGAGCACGGAGATGACGCTGGCGAGGTGCCACAGCGCGGAGATGTAGACGTGGATCCCGAGGAAGACGAAGACAACGGCGATGAGGCATAGGAGAAAGGAGAGGGGGAGCGGTGCGGACTCGGACGCGTCCTTGGGGATGAAGACGTTGATGAGCCCGAAGACGGTGAGCCCGAAGACGAGGTGGGAGCCGCCCATGAGGAGGGCGACCCATGCGAAAGTGTCGAGGAGTTCAGGCAGGATGAGGGGCAGCGCGGTGAGCGAGGAGGAGATGGACGCGGGCTTGTTGGTGTAGAGCGAGGCGACGGTGAAGACGGCGGCGGCGGTGGAGAGGATGGAGAAGGTGCAGAGGACCATGAGGTAGAGGAACTGGTAGGCGAAGAGCCTGAGCCACTGCGAGTCCGAGTAGGTGACGCCCTGGATGCGCAGCAGGAAGGCCGTGGGGTCAGTGAAGAGGGTGTGCGCGAGCACGGCGAAGGCGAGCGGGAAGACGAGGCAGGCGGTGAGCAGCGCGAAGGAGCGAGGAGCCGCGCGCGGGATCGACGCTGAGACGCGGACCAGCTCCGCCGCGCCCATCGCCGCGAGGTCGCTCGACGCCAGCTCCATCGCCGCTTGATTTGGGGGTGATTTGGGTGTGCCTGTTGGGTGGGGGATCCGGCGTGGAATGGCCGTGGCGGACCGCGTGTCGAGTGAGTGAGTGCGACCAGCCGGCGGGCGCGCAAGCAGCGGTGATATATAGCCACAGATCAGGACCGGGCTTAGTGCGTGCGTCAGTCACGCGGGATTTTCGTCGCTATGCGATGCGTTATCCATGTGGCCCGGTGAGAAGCGGAGAACTGGTGTTTGCGTGACAAGGATAGGGCAATGCTGCCAGCTGGGGATGTGGAGCAAGCTAGGTCGATCATGCGATGATCGATCAAGACGCGAGCGAGTTGATCATATGGTGTGAACACAACAGATGGACCACGTGCGTTTTTTTTAAAACAAAGACAAGAAGTTAAAACGAAAGAATTTATGTATTGGAGACTAACCATGTTTTTTCATAATAAGGATAGGGCAATACGCTCTGCACATGCATGTGTACTAAGACCCTCCACAGTGTGGAGTGATGCCTAAAAATAATTGAGCCCCACAGAGAAGATTTTAGCTTCACTCTTTAAATGCCGCAGCGTGTGAGGCGCTGCAGTATCGCTAGAGGCCCACTTGATACATGTTAAAATAGTAGAGTTGGTGTATGTCTCTCTCGTCCTTGCTAAGTGATAGTTGGAACATGTTGCGTAGAAAATATTTTTTAATGAAGATATAGCACCGGCGCAAGTAGATGTATCGCTTCTAGTTTTTCAAGCGCAGGCATCGATAGCGCACTGCAGTGGTTCGAGTGATGCCTCAGCTCTCTCTTTTCTTTTTGTTTCAGGCATCACTTTAGCTTCACCCTGCGGATGGCCTAAGCTAGCTAGCGAACAATTGTGCGATGCATGGTGGTAAAATGACCACCTTGTTCCGCATGTATATATGCCGCGTGAGTAGCAAAAAAATGATCAGATCATCTATAAGGATCCATCGACCTCGCACCAGAGCTAGCTTGTTGAATCATCCAAGCTCCACCTCTGGATCGATCATGTAATAATCATCGTGACTGGTTACTTTATATTGGAGTATGCGACCTTTTCCCATATTATCAGTTACGCTCATCCTCCATATATATCTTCTTGATTTCGTAGCGAACATGCCTCGACACATGCATGTTTCATTAAGAGGAAGCTTACTATATTTTTTTCTTGATAAAATTACAAACCTACATATACGTCTGATGTTTCTGAGCATTGCACGTTGAGAATTGAGATGCATTAAAGTGCAAGGAGCTGATACAGCACAGCAGGCACCTATGCATACAACGCGTCATTTGGTAAAGATATATAGAATGAGACGTACCGTGTGAATATATACGGTCCACAACTTAGGGTCTCTTTGGCATGGCTTATGTCGGCTTCGGCTTCATCTATTTTGCATAAATCGAGACATCAGAAGCGTGAAAGCCGTTTTGTAAGTCGAAGTTAAAATGAACTAGAAGCCGGGAAAACCAGTTTTCTAGCTTCACCGGCTTTGACTTCACCTGGTGAATCCGTTTTGGATGAGCCATGCCAAGGGAGCTTTAATTACATAGCCAGCTAGCTAGCTAGCTACTTTATTTATGTTGTCATCGTTCTGGTCGATCAGTGACGTGCAACGAATATACATCATGTTCGCTTTGAAGCTAGTCTGTGCAACTGATGCCGTGATGGGAAAAAAAAATCGGTGAGGATCATCCCTACCGGGACACGTAGTGGGCCAGTGAGGTCTGTGCAACTAAAATGCATGTGGGCCACAATATCATTTTAAACATACGCATGGTGATTTAGTTATTTCATGAGCCACGTGTCAGCCATACATCTGCACAGTGTTGTGGTAGGGATAATCCTCACCGAATTTTTTTTTCCGCCGTGATCGCCGCCCGGATTCACCGCAAGGCCCAGTATTCATATGATCGATCAATCGAGATCGACAACGCAAAATAAAAGCGTCGTCGCTGGCTCGCCGCGTCGGGAAACGGAACGGCGGGCTGGTGAACAACAGATTTCTCATAGTGTACGTATACATAAAACACTTTTCGAAAGAAATTGTGAGAATAGAAATATGGAATCCTAGAAAGCACGAAGCTTCATGGAAACTCATCCACCACCGGCTGGCCAACCCTGTTTCGGTAAAACGTATACCTTGGGATGAGCCAAACTTCACCACCACATCCTATCCTATCTTACCAAATGCGTGCAATGTACGTACAGTCACAATATTCACGGCAACGTCATATACAGACACTGACCGGCCAGAATGATGACAACAGACAACAGAAGCTAGCAGCTGGCTGTGGGGCTAGGTATATCACGGCACGTCACATCCCATATATCTTACCAAATGACGCCTTGTTTATGCATAGGTTTTCCTGCTGTCTCCTTACGCTTTAGTGCGTCTCTCAATTCTCAACGTACAAAATATGTACGTATCAAGAACATATATCAAGCTTGCTTCTTCTTAGTGAAACAAGTGCCGCGGCACATTCTCGAGAAAAAAAAATCAAGGATACACATATATCAAGGATGGATGGATGAACGTAACTGATCATATGGTAAAAGGTCGCATACACATACTTCCACACTAAAGGCTCCTCACTGGTGTAGATGTTCGCTTGAGCTACTTTTCAGCCATGGAATAATATTTTTCTCTCACAATATTTTAGCATAAGCATCAGCATAAGCCAAATTTCAGCATAAGCGAATAGGGCTGAGCCAGGCAGCTGGCACATGGCAGAGGGCGTACAATCATCGTATCTTGCGTTGCATTGTTCACTAGCTAGTACATGTATGGGCAGAGTGCATTGCACCTATATATCGTTGTCAAAAACGGGACTCTTGTCAGCTAAGACCTGGTTTTTAGAAGCACAAGTATTAGACTCAATCCACGTGTATTAGAGTGGATTAGAAGAAAGTTAAAATAAATTGTATCCAGTCTATTTCAACGACACATATAGATTAAGGTGTATATACAAGTGCATCGAAACAAGGTCTAAGTGGTGTTCAGCCTATTCACACCATGACTTGATCGCATGCCGGCCGTGGCCGCATCGTCTTGATCCACATGACCTTAGCTAGCTCGTTCCCCTTCAATTCAGAGATTTCCAAACAAATAAAAGCGCACCTGCACTTACACATAGTTTGGTTGATTGTACGACCGTGGTGTTTCATCTTGCCTTTTTCTTTGCTTAAGTTGGACCTATATATGTATATACATTGATATCACCGGGATTTAATTTACCTCTGTTCAATTAATAGTTGGGAGCTAATGCATGATGGCCCCTCTCACTACTAAAAAAAATCAATTCCTAGAGAGTTGTCTTAATAAGTTAAACAGTTTTAAGTTTGATGGAGTAAAATGATTTATGATACCAAATTAGTATCATTAGATGCACCATAAAATATACTTTAATAATTAATGTGCTCATTTGTTTTCACAAATATTTATGCTCTTTTAATGAATTTGACCAAATTTATGACTTAAGATATCTATAGGAATTGATTTATTTAGAAATAGAGAGAGTATACACGAAGTGGGCGATGTACATAAAACATGCCTCCATCTTCATATCTATATATTTTCCCCTGATATCATTGCAAGGATATTTCTAGGATATGAGCTTGAAAATGCGCGTCACTAGGAACACATGCATGCATGCATGTCAGTGTACAGTGCACAACAGTAAAATAAATCACCAACATTATGTCGAATGAAGCTGGATATAAAGCATATAGTAATACTATAACTGATGATCATATACAGAGGAAAAAGGTCCAATAATACACACATCAAATTAAAGACTGCATACATCGGAGTACTAGCAGCTTAATTATTCATCGTCAATACTAATGTATCTCAATCAGACCATAATTAATCCCCCAGCTAATTAAGTGATCTATCCGATTAATTAACACTACACTACTAGATCCACACACAAGCACTCGATCAGTAATAATCAGCATCAGATAACTCTTATTCGATCGATCCTTAGAATTATATATACTCTCATGCATGCATTTCTCCACATATGAGCTGAGCCGATCCATGGCATCGACATGGACACACATCACATGGAGCTATATACGTAGGTGCTACTCCTCAGTCCTCACCTCCCGGTCCCAGGAGGAGCACGATGGTCATGACGACGTCGCCGACGGCGAGTATGAAGATGGCGATGGTGCAGGAGATCCTGTAGAAAAGGTACCCTGGATCTGCGGAGAGGATGAGGCGGACGCCGGTGGCGTACATGCAGTGCCGAGGATGGCGGCCACCAGCGCGACGAACGCTGGGCCGTGGCGGATCCGGCGGATGGGAGCAGCAGCGCCAGCACCGCCGCGGCCGACTGGACCACCGCAGCAGCAGAGGATCCCGTCCCAGAGGGCGGCCTTTTCGGCGGCCACCGCGTCCGTCAGGTCGACGCACCGCAGAACAATGGAGGACTGCACGAGCACGAGCAGAAATTAACACCGACGACACGAAAGGGCAAAGACGCTGAACACTGTACAGTCGGCTGCTTAATTACCGGGGTGCAGTGGACGTGGAAGTAGTAGAGTATGTAGACGACGAGTGCGGGGGCGAAGGCGATGCCGAAGGCGGTGAGGAGCGCCCATTCGCTGACCAGCTCGACAGCTGCCGAGACCGGACGGTGAGCGGCCACCGTGTCATTCTTCGCCACGGTCACAGGCAACTTGCCGTCGTCTTCCATGGGTCCGGGGATCAGTCGATCGGATCAGAAACTATACGTAGCAAGCTCTGTTGCAAAAGAAACGATGATCGATCCATGCATCTTAATTAGTTTCAAGAAGATTAAACAAGACGGAATATTTCAGCGCAAAATTAAAAGCACACTAGCCTGCAAGTTAATTCCCCAAATTAACTTTGATCGGTATGGAGGAGTATAGATCCGGTGAGAGACAGAGAAATCTCAAATTAGATTAAAGTTAGCAAAGATGGCCGGACGCCGTCGGAAGGGGGAAATTAAAGGATCGGAGTGGGCT